TATATATATATATATACACACACACACACACACACACACACACACACACACACACACACACACATTTATTTATTTATTTTTTCCGGAATTTTCAGAAAAGTCCACTTTCATCTCTGTTTCATGCTGGCTGAGTATTTTTTTTTTTGTTCTATCTTTTGAAATCAATTTATTTTATCATTGGATATTTCAAGTGTTGTTTAGATACCTTGTTTTTGATTACCACTGATCATTATTTCCATTCTTCCTTTCATACTTTATGAACAAAAATAGTTTTTATATGATTACATTAAGTTTACACACATGGGTCAAAAGTGACGCATTCATCCAAGTGTGACTAAATGACTTAAAACTGTAATAATTTGCTTCAAGTCATTACTTTAGCAGTGAAGGAGGCCAAACACGTGTCTTTAATATTTGCAATGTTTTTATTCGTCATTTTGTTACACAGCTTTGACAACAAAGCACACAGCTATTGAGTTGAGCTAAATCAGTAGTTTTACAACTGTAAACTGGTTGCATAGCATTGTATTCGATTCTGCCCTCAAAGAAATCAAATTTTAAAAAGTCAATTTTACGTTGTGCTAAAACTTACTTTCTCTATTGTCCTGTATATTCACCTATCTGTCTGATTCCACTGCATAATTGTTGTGTGACATTCTCTCCTAAATTTCTTTGAACCTCCTGTCTTGGCTGTCTCCCTGTCAAGACAGTTCCTTCTATTCCATAAGGTAACCTTGCGTCACACATCCAGAAGATTTTCATCCCATATTTTGCAGGTTTGCTGGGCATGCACCTGGTCCTGCAATGAGGGTCAAACCGACAAAAGCCATGCATTCTTTGTCAGTGTTTCGGTTCTTTGTCCCTCTAAGTTGGTGCATTTTGGAACCTCCTCAATGATGTTGTCACTCATGAAGATCCAGGCATCTTTTGGTGAAACAGCTGATGTTCCAAGAGGAGGTCCAGACAACTCCTCAGGATGTTTGTGGCTTCTTGTTCTGCCTTGAGTGGAGGGATTCTCATTCCAGTAAGATCCATTTTTACTCAGTCTATTGGACTGAGTCTGAGTTTCCTCTCCAGAAGATTGATTAGAGGAATCTTCTGTGTCATGAGAGGAGTCTTCTTCATGCAGGAAAGCTGGATTTCCAGACACACCCACAATTCCGGCTTGACTCTGTTGCAAATATTCTGGGTTCATCATCATCAGAAATTTCAGACTCTGAATCAGAAAAAAAATGGTCTCCTCATCTTCCTCATCTAGTTCTTGCTGCAGCATTGCTACAACCTCTTCACCAGTAAATCTGCAAACAGCAATACTCTAGATAAAGAAAAACAAAAGCATTACAATGTTTTCTGATCCACATCAATATGCATACACATACATACTGATTTATTTTGGTGACTTCACATCAATATGCACACACATACATACAGATTTATTTTGGTGATTTAGCTAACCCCCAATGAAAAAAAATATGCCAGCATCCCCCACCACTACTAGCAAACACCACTATAGCGAGAGAGCTAGCTAATCATAATTACCTGTAACTTTCTAACAAAGAATCTACTCACTCAAAGTAGACTAAACTGAATCAAATATTATGTGCCATTCACGAATGTCATCAAATATCTTTTGAGGCAACGTTAGAGTAATTGAAAAACAATACTTACATGAATTAGAGATGGGTAAAGAGGCTTGTGCAGAGCTGTGAAATGTCTTTTCTCTCCAAAGGCAATAGCTAGTAAATCAATGTGGGTCTTTCTGGCCCATGTGTGTCAACTTGAGGTAGAAATACAAAAGCTGTGCTTGTTCATACCATAAGAAAGGAAAAGTGGAAATAATGATCGGTGGTAATCAAAAACAAAACTTTTGCTGCATATTTGGAAGAGTAAATTATAGTTATATCATAAAAAAACTCAGCAATGCATGAAATAACATAGAAAATGAATATGGGTCATTTTAGACCCATGTTGTGCATTAGAAGGGTAGTGATATAAAAATGTTATTTATTCAAAAAGTAAGAAAGAAAAAAATAAAACAATTGTGTCTTATAGTCAATGCCAATTAATTGCACTATTTTCACATCATAGGAAATATGGCTAAGATGACATTATCATACTGCCCAGGGTAATAGTTTTATTAATTAAAATGCACACCTATCCACAACATTTCTCAACACATTCTTAATACATGCGGGAACAACAACAAAAAAGCAGTGTTTGGTGTCATTGTTCCTTTTAGATAGGGTTTGAATGAATGCCATTAATGGCAGTGTAGCTCTGATTGGTTGTCAGCTAGTTAATGTTATGAATAGACTGTAAGCAAAGCAACTGCAAATAAAATGGGATTTCCTATTAAATTAAGGCTTAGGAAATGTTGCTTTTTACTTCGACTTGATTCTACTTGTAGTATGAGTGTGTTGAGCAAAGTTCTGGATACTTTTTTGTGTTTTATTTCATGAAATCCTGACTGTGGATAGCATGATAAACAATGACTTCTCAATTACAGAAATAGCTGCAAGCTTGCTAGGTCTTTGCATATTTGTGTGGGTGTGGGCTGGTGTGAGACAGAAATAGCAGGGGTGATTTTTAGTGCCAGTACACCCCTAGTTGTCTTGAACAAAAAGTTAATGGTCACGGTTAAACATATTTTTACCCAAAAAAATAACAGCACTTGACTGCAAAATGTAGATTGGAAAGTGGTCCCAAGGGTCACCACCCTACAGGAAATAACAGGAAATCCTGGCACATTCTGTGACATGATGTGCTGTTTTCTTCCTAAGGCCTTCATCAAAGAGTTAGTGGAGAAGCTGGATGGAGTTCATAAGGAGGAAGAGCTGCAGAGTGAAGGCATCGAGCATCCAGTCATCGGTCACAGCCACCATCGCCACGAACCTTATCACTTCAATGACCCGCGCCATTTCCACCACACCCAAGGCCAGAACCAGACCCTTTGATGAAGCCCCACCTCCATTATTCACACAAGCACCCCATTAAACTGTCAACAAAGCATAACATTCATGTATTTACTCTAATTCTACATATAGTTTGTCAAATCCATGCCAATTGATATGTAAAACGTTTGCTGTTTGACAGTGTTGTGTCGTTCTGTCAACTGTGCGGATGTGGCACAGCGAGATAGGAAGGAAGTGGCTGTTCCTTAAATATCAAACTTATTCCAGTCAATGTTTTGTGATAGGAAAATATTGTATCCTTTACAGGAGGTTTTGTCCGGTATATTAATGGATTTCAACTGACTTTTGACTAATAATGTAAAATAATACTCGGAAAACTTTTGGGAGGAGTGGAACATAATTTACTCGGTTTTACAAAAATAAATATGGTACATTACGTGTCCCCCACAGAGGTCATACCCAAAAGAGAAGCACAGGCTAAAAGCCTATCCACTGAAAAAAAAAATCTTATGGCACATATTATTACCATCATTTATAAACGATTATCAATGTGAAAGTGTAGTCATAAAAATTATGCATGTGTTTAAATATGGCGTCACTCAGCATCATAGATTCATGATGTAATGGTCGATATTAAGCCTTTCAGGTACAGCGGTTACTGCAGTGGACATCTTATCATGTTATCGGGTTCCAGGGTGCATGAAAGTGTTAAAGTGTATTAAATTGGATCATTGCAGTATTTTATTCATTGACGACAGTATACGATTTTCCTCCAAAGTATTATTGGCATGTGATGCTATCCCACATTATCAGTTATCATGTTAAATGAACCCCTGATTCATTGTTCACATGGTGAAACTTTTGAAATGACGTCACCGATATTCATTGCTTCTGTTTTTGAGCTTCTGCTTCTACACCGAGTCGCTAAATAAAGGTAACCCGCCGCACTGTTTTTGTGTCCCATGAAACTTTCATCATGATCACATCGAGAGCCGCGTCGCAACTCAGCGGAGGCATATTTTAGATCGTAAACTCGAGCTGCAGTGGTGCCATCTCGAGTTTGCCTCGTGTTGGTTCGTGTTGTGCAAATATCCACACGTGATGAAAGAAGCATCTTGACTTGCAGCTTCCTTTCTTTGTCTATGAGTAGGCCTGATATATATAATTTTTGCTGATTTGGAATGATATGCAGGACGAACATAGTACTTCAATAATTATGAGTGAGTTAATTTTTGTGAAAACATTTGACAAAATGAGCTCTGTTGTTGAGTTTGGATAATGGATTTTTCGTACATGTACTGAAAAACGCATCATAACAAATTTAATATATTATGAGCACGTATTTTGTCCATATGTAAAATAGCATTGTTTTTTTGGTCATACATCTGACTAGGAAGTGCGTAGTCCTACGTGGGGCCCCCAATGGGTCCTCGGTTTACGACAGTTTCTCGGTTACGAATGATGTGCAATAAACTAGTTTGTGTCATAAGTTCAGTGCTTTTCCTGCCAATATTTACTGTAATTACTGTATATCTTTATTAGTGTGCTGCCGACGACGACTTTCGTCCACATTCGGGTTACGTCGCCACGAGGCAACCGAATAACGCCGTAAATCGAGGAGCCCCGGTGTGGGGCACGAAAATCAATTACCATATTGTCCACTAGGTGGCAGAAACGAGCAACAAGAGTTCAGTACAGCGTCAGAATGCTTTTCCACGTGGGCTGTACAAACATTTGGACTTCTTTCATTGCTTCGTTTTCATTAAAGCGTTGCACATCACAACTCACCTACGTGCACGAGCACAAACACACCTTCAGCAGTTTCCTTTATGTGATATTATGAGCCTTGCTATGGCAGCCAAGCCCTTAGTTATGTTCTAAAGAATTTGGCAACGACTCAAGGTTTTATCCTCCTTTTCGTTCAGTTCTAAATTCTTCCACTGAGGAAGCGTACGCTGCTGATGATGCATGAATAGAGTTTGCAATCAAGGCCACGAATTCTCCCCACTCAATGTAATAAGTGAGACGGGGTTAATGCACTCTAACAAAGTGTGCACGCATGATAACATCATAATACACCACAGGGGATGCTCTGGCCAGTCTTCCTGCACTAGGCACTCAATGTAATTAAACTAGAAGGTTCCCTTGGGTGCATGCAGGGTGGGGTACGGGAGTGGGGGTCGAAGGTTTGCTGGTGTAGGAGGGCTAGAAGCGACAGGACAGGCCTTTCCTCAGGAAAACATATCACCTTCCACCACAATAGAGCTCACCAGGAAACCATGGGCAGCCACATTGCTCTCTTGAGTCAATGAATACTTTCAGACACACTCTCACACTCATCAGTCACACACGCACACAAAAGCCTGCACACTCCAGGATGACACGCTACTGAAAGACTGTGAGAATAGCTTCTCAGGTAAGACGGTTTGCGTTTCAGTCAACTCCATCACTAGAAGGCAGCCAGTGTGGTTTGTTTGTGTTTTCTGATGCATTGTTTTCTTTCTTACAGGTGTGAAACAGGTAACGTCTTTAATAGATGGTGTCTACTCGTCAGACACTTCACCAGGTACATCCACACCACCTAATAAGATCCGATATAACAACCCCGCATGCCTTGAAATCCTCTTCAAAATATTTCAAGTGAAACTCGGCGGTTATGATCCCCTGCAAACTGCGACTAACAAGTCAATCACAAAACAGCGACATCAACATAATTATTGTTACTGATCATCGAGGATTAAAGCTGATTCTATTTCGCTGTGTAGGTGTATCTAATAATGTGGCTTCTGAAGCAAACCCCGCCATCTATCATCCTCCAATTTGTATTAGTTGAATTGAATCAGAAATTGATTCTATTCTTCCAACAATACTCACGTATGTAAGTGTGCTATGTAGAAAAAAAATGTTTCTTGTCAGTATATTTGAGAAAGTATAGTCACCTTTTAAGGGACAGCGGTTACTACAGTGGAGAGCTGATCGTGTTATCAGGTTACAGGGTGCATGAAAGGGTTAAAAAGAATTGTTTACCCCATGCATAAAAAGTCAGTTGTTCATAATTATGATAATGTCTTCAATTTTTTTGTCCAGATTACGCAGGTAGGCGTTGGGGACGGGGGTGAAGGGTGGGGGGGAACCCAAAAAACGAAGGGTGCAAAAGGTGCAACACATTTAGACTACGCTTATACAGACCTTAATAAATAAATGAATTCTGTAGAATGTTAGCCAAAAATATACGATGATTTTTTTAGACAAAAAGGTTTTGTTTCTGACTTTAACAAAAATTTGTCTACCTCCTGTCATGTCAAAAATGACAAAAACAGGATGTCATAAGGCACAGATGCATCGGCTCCACATTTGAATATTATTAGCATATAAAAGCAAACTGTTCACTTGAAGAAAATGAAGAAAACCGAATCTAAAGCAAATTATGAATCCTGAAAGTGGTTTGATTTACTCATCTCCGTCAGTGTGAAGGAGCTTTCTCTCTTTTCATGGTGAGATGATTGTTTCTCCGGGAGGATGTATCGTTGCAATCTTGTAACACCAGCAATGTATTATAAAGGTAATAAACGGCATATGAAAACTTATCATTCAACTATAAAATGCTTAACTGCACATTAGGTGAGAAAAGTTGGTTTGTCTATTGTTGTATGTGTACAAGATTTTTAAACTTTTGTTGTTAATCTCGTATCTTGTGTACGATAAAGAATGTATGCGGGCTGCATAGTTGCAGCGATATACTCAAGTTTTTTTTTTTTTTCCCTCCTGTTCTTGTTCAACAGGTCTAATCGCAAGTGCAACCATGCCCATTCTAAAGAAGCTCCCAGGTAGGTCAAAGAGCTGCCATGAATTCCCCAGAGTGAATGGTGAACTTATTCTCTCGAGGCTTGAATTGGACCTCAAGGACTTGAATGATCTTAATGATCTGAAGGAGTTGCACAACCTGAAAGAGCTGAAAAAGAACCTAAACCCATTTGAGGATGTTGACCTGGATGAGGATGAGAGGAACGACGGTGACACGGGCCTCATCATGGGGGACGTCAGGGGTAACCTACAGCTCAGGTCCTCTCGTGATGGAGAAGAGGAAGAAAATGAACTCAACGCCGAGAGACACGGGGCGGGAAATCCCAAAGGAAAGCCGCTAAGGGGCACCCTGGAGCGGATTTGTGGTGTGTCACCACTGAAAACCCTTGGAAAATTGGGCAAGGGGCTCCGCAAATCTGGACGAAGCGTGTGGGGGCACAACTCACCACACTATAGCCCCGGAGACTCATACACACTCCCAACAGAGAGAGAAAAAAGGAAAGGACTACGCAGAAGCTCAGAGGGAATTATGACTCTATTCCGGTGAGGATGGGTGAAACATCATTATTTGCGACTAAAATCCTATACATATATTTACAATTATTTTATATATATATATATATATATATATATATATATATGTATACATTTACGAGGTGTTATGTATCTAGAATTAAGGAATCAAGGCATGATTAAGAATAACATAAATAAATAAAAGAGCATGACAACTTTTCCTTCGGTCAAGTTGGAAAAAAAAAGTGTTGGGAAATTTTAATTGACAGTAATTAATATTGTGTGCTTATGTCCCTTGTTATGTAATTACCTGCTGACGTGCTTTCAGTGGCATGTTGCATGCTGACTGTGACTATTTTACAGTTTTACACTTTAAATAGGAGTCACTTAAAAAACAAACGAAAAAAAAAACAGCCATTTATTCCAGGAACAATATTTAGCACCAAGCCTTTCATGTGGTCATGTATAAAGCCTCTTCATCCCCTCACCCCATTTATATTGTTATGTTGTTTTATGCCGCGGATTCTGTGCAGCATTACTGGCCGTTGTAAAGAGGAGCGCAGAGAAAGCCTGCCCTGTGGGGACCTGAGTGCAGACAACGAGGCGGAGGCTTCTAGGCGGTCCTCCTTCCTCAGGATGGTCAGCCTTGGCAAGCTGAAGAGGGAATCCATGTCCGACAAGGCCTCAGAGGAGACTGAGGATGAATCAGAGGAAGAGGAGCCAGTGGTCAAAACCAGAGAGCCCCTTTCAGGTAGTGAACGAGGAAGCAATGAGTTAGAGATCATCGTAAGTGATACGGTGAAACTACAATGAATATCTCTTGTTTTGGGAATCCTTATTCTTTCTGCCCACATCAAGTGCAAAAGTTCTTTTAATCCCTTATTGAACACTCAGTTGGAAATTCAAATACAGTGGAACCTTACTTAAACAGACTGATTGGGGAAAGGGGTTGTCTCTCTTGTCTGTTATGAATACTTCTTTCGTGACCGAAAAATACCCAATACAGGAAAACAATTTTTGTTTTGTACTTTATTCCATTCCGTTTTTTTTTCCGATCCGCTTTATCCTCACAAGAGTCACATGGGGTGTCTTCGGGCAGGAGGCGGGGGACAGCTTGAATCGGTTGGCGGCCAATCGCAGGGCACACAGAGACAAACAACCATCCGCACATACACTCACATCTAGGGAGAATTTGGAGTGTTCCATTAACCTGTCATGCATGTTTTTGGAATGTGGGAGGAAACTGGAGTACCTGGAGAAAACCCACGCAGGCCCAGGGAGAACATGCAAACTCCACACAGGAAGGCCAGAGCAGGGATCGAACCCACAATCTTTGCACCTTGCGGTCGATGCACTAACCACTGGACCACTGGGCTACCGTTTTGTACTTTATTTGAAGACTAAAAATGCCCACTATGGCACAAAATTATTAAATATTAAAAAAAAAAAAAAACTTTAAAAGTTACCTTGTTGGTGATTGGGTGGAAATGATGTACATCGTTCATGAGCCACAATGTTAGCACTTGCTTTTTTCACTTCCCTTATAATTAGATGCGATAGGCTTTCATAAACCCCCCCCCCAAAAAAAAAAACAATTGTGCACTGCGCCAGCAGCTGCATATTAAAGAGTAAAAACAGCCATATGTATGAATAGGTAGATACAACATGGCACTTTGAGCTGCAGGCTAATGCCCATGCTTTCCATTTGGAACATTGCCACTGCCAACATGGCAACCAAATTGACGCATGTTTTAGCCTGCTCGAGTCTACCATTGGTCTAATTATCTATGATAGGAGCAGTACAGCCTAGTAACATGTGGCCAGTCTTTGTTAATGACATCAAAGCGTAATTTTAATGGTGCTGTGGCAAATTGCGGCTAATTGTGGAAATAACAGACTGAAAAAGCTATTTTAGAAGTGGCGTTTTGAGTAGGCTGTACGCAAATGCCCTTGAATTTGGGGACCATTGGTTTCTGGGTTCATTAAATTGAGGGGCCAATGTATCGAAAAAGTGTTGGGGAAAATCAGAAAGTCCTACTGCCTCCTTTTAATTTGTGTTTAAGTGACAAAATATGGTTAGGGTTAGTCTGCGTCTCAAGGAAGACGGGCTACATGATGGAAACACGTGTCCTCTCATATGTTCAGATGTTTTTTTTCCAAATCACTGGAATGAATTTGGTCTATGCTTTATTTTCAACAGTACTGGAGATTCTACAGTTAGTCAATCATCGAGACCTGCTCCTTGCCGACACACATATTCAGGAACTAGAACGAGAGTGTGAGCTGTTGTCTCTCCTGCCAACTCCAACTGGTCCCCTCCTCAGTCATCCTTTTAGTCCCTGCAGTCCTCTTGGCATGATTCCCCAATCATGTTCATCTTTGGATGAGTCACTCAGTTCCAACGCAACTCTGGATTCAAGTCGCCGGAAAGAGAAGGATGTAGAGCTCCTCTATGAGGCTTTGATGAAGGAGATGTGGGATGTCGTGAGAGAATCTCTCCGGCAACCCAGCGCTGGGCCCAATCTTGGGCTTGTGGTACTGGTTATTCAACAGGAAGAGCATGCAGATGTAACCTGGGCTCTCAGAGGGGACAGTAAGCCAGAACGAGATCCGGACGTGGCTCCCCAGACCCAACAAAGCCACCGTCCTCGGCGAATGAAGATGAAGTGGAGAGAAGCTGTGGCAGAGGCTGCTGATTGGAGCCTGCCGCACCAGGTGGACACTCAGGCAGGCCAGCTGGCGTCATACCTGGAGCGCCTGAGGAGTCGGATGGTGGATGACGTGGACGCAGCCAAGAGGAACGCCGTGTCCATTTACCCTGAGGAGTTCTCTGCGTTTCAGGTGTATGTGGAAAGTTATCATCAAGCCGTGGCTAAACGTCTAAGAAACCTTACCCGTGGCCCACTGCAGATAACTGATGTCTACTCACTGTTGGACTGGTTCTACAACATCTACAACCGGTAGATTACATTGTATACTATACCAATGCTAGAGTGTACCTCATTAAAACTACTTAAATAACATGAACTTTTATTTTGAATAAGTACTTAAAAAACATGTCCTGCATTTTTATCTTTACAAGTGATGTTCTGGGAACCATTGGCACTGCAACGCCAATCAACTATGCCTCCCTGGAACCTATTCTGCCTCCAGACACGGTGGACCAATTAGAAAAGGAGTGCCTTAATATTGTCAAAGTAAGAAAAGAGTTTCCTTTTGACTGCCTCTTTGAAAAAGGAATAATAGATTCAACTTGCTATTTGAAATCTAGGAGAAGGTGACAAAAGAGTTAATTCAGGTTCTGGATGACGAAGAGAGACGATGGGCCCATACTCTACACATAGAGGAATATCAATCCCACCTAGCACGCTCGGTCATTCAGGTAATTATTATGATTATTTTGGCTATTTAAAAAGATGATACAACTATCTCAACACATCTATACATCTGATTTTGTATTTGTATTTTTTGTTCATTGTATTTCACAATTCTAGAGGCTGAAAGTAGATCTAGACAAATCTACATCTGTAAACCAGTTCCTAGGGGCAAGAGTGGCTCGCTTTAGTCTCATCGGCTTGGCTGACTTTCTTTATAGGTAAGTTGAAAAACAACACCAAGGTCGGTAGTGACCATGCCGAGTTTATAGCTACTGTCGGAAAAAAGATCACTTTTATTTCTGATTTATGCATAATTTACGTACATCCTGAGTTCAGGAATGAAAGAGTGTGCTACTATTGTAAAGCTAAAATAACAGTTTACATGTGGATCTGAATTAGAAAATGTGTCTTTTTTGGTAACTTAGATATGAGTCAAAACTTGCCACCATATAAGTTGCTAATATTTCATTGAATTTTAACTTCACCCAGTCAGTCAGTGAAGAAATATAGTCTTCACCATGAAATAGATATACGTATATTTTTCATGCGTAAAAATATAATTATAATGACCATAACAAGTTAACCAAGATTATAGCATGCCCGCCTCTCAGTTCTGAGGTTTATCTCCGGCCTTTATGAGTGGAGTTTTTACCCGGTAATTCGGCTTCCTCCCATGTTCCAAAAACAATATCAAAGTAAAAAAACAAAACAAAACAAAACAAAACAGTAACACAATTTGTGGATTATTTCAGTGTGTGCCGTCAAATACCCAGAATCGATAATCTCACAACCCGACAGCAATTTTAGCAAAATACCATCCATCCATCCATCCATCCATTTTCCGATCCACTTTATCCTCTCGAGGGTTGTGGGGCATGCTGGAGCCAATCCTCGCTGTCTTTGGGCAGTAAGCGGGGTACACCCTGAACTGGTTTCCCTGTTAGTCGCAGGGCACACACAGACGAACAACTATTGACACTCACAATCACACCTAGGGACAATTTTAAGTGTTTCATTAACATGCCGCGGACGTTTTTGGAATGTGGGAGGAAACCGGAGCACCCCGAGAAAGCTCATGCATGTAAACTCCACACAAGAAGGCCAGAGCCTGAATCAAACCATGCACCTCTGCATTGTGAGGCGGACATGCTAACCAGTCGACCAATGTGCCGCAAAATACCAGTCTGTACTAAAACTAGAAGACATCCGAGAACCATCAAAGTCACACCATTTGGGGTTAACCCCTATCTAATTTATTACTATTGAACCAAACAGAAATCGACAAGCATCACTGAAAAGACTGAGTCTGACATTCGAGTTTCCACATCTGCTGGATCTGCTCTTGTCCTTTATACAAAATTGCTACTGCTCAACATGGCTATTTCTTGGAGCGAGATTCTCAAAGAAAATGTTGTGTACAAGTTTTCAGAGAAAAGTAGAGATGTTTCATGAGACCCAGGCAGAGTTTGGTGATCGAGGTGATGGATATGTTTCCAGGACCATTGCTCTAGTCAACTGCTGCCCTCCTCTCAGGTGAAACACACATTTATTCAATCTATACTTTTATTTTTTGTTGAAGATGGGTTTCAGTAATTGGTTTTAATATGTATGTTGATGTCATGGCTGGACACTGTAGATCCTTCGTGGAGCGCTGCAGGCAGTGTGACCCACAGGCCAGCGAGGACTCAGCAAAGAGAGCCAACTCCTCCCTGGATAGGATCATCAACCAGTCTGTGAGGGTGCTGGCTGATCGGCTGTTTGAGCACATCAGGGTGAGCAGATGTTCAGCCAGCTGTTTTGAAATACAGTAAACCACCAATGGCAGACAGCAGCCATGACAAAAGAATTCCAAGACTTGACATGACAAGTAAGATGGGTATGAAAGTTCAAATAAAATAGATGGTAAAAATGTAAATAAAATAAACCATTATCTGCAGGACTACTATGGAGGGAAAATATCCAAGATCTACATGTTAGATGATAATGAAATTGCAGGAAAAAAATGTAAATGTGAGTATGAATGGTTGTTCAGCTTATGGTACATACAACTCAACTCAACTGTATTTATAGAGCAGTCTAAAACAGCCACCGCTGTATACAAAGTGCTGTACATGGAGCAAATATCATATATACAACAATAAACAATAAAACAATACATTAATAACGAAGACAGTAGAAAGCACAAAAACAGTAAAACAAAATCAAGTCTTAGTCATGCTGAGTCAAAAGCCAAAGAATACAAATGAGTTTTGAGATGACTTTTAAAGATGGGCAGCAAGGGGGCTTGCTAATGTTCAATGGGAGGTCATTCCAAAGAGATGGGATCTCAAAAATAACTATAATGTATAGGGAGCCAGTGAAGGGATGCCAGAGTAGGAGTTATGTGCTCCCTCTTACGAGTGAGTACCAGTCAAGAGGCGAGCAGCAGCATTCTGGACCAACTGGAGACGTTTCATGGAGGATTGGCTGACTCCAAAGTAAAGTGCATTACATTAATCCAGACGAAGACATGAATTACTGTTTCAAAATCCTCATGAGAACAGTACATATGTATAGAGAAATGAGGACCAATGAAGATATAAAAAATAAACACAATGGATCAGATCGCTCCTCTTTTAACTAGCTGATCGATTCTTTTTTTTCAGAAGCACTTTAGGCAGACAACAGACTCGATACTCACTCTTAAGCCTTCAAATCGGCTCTGTCATTTTCAACTTTTATTTTCGCTTTCAATGACCACATACTGCATAGCCAGCGAACAATATACAAGTGAAATGAAATAGTAATCTAGCAGCGTAAATGAAAAGAATGGCTGAGAATATTTTTCTCGTCACGTTTGCACTGCAACAGTTTCGTTCATTCGACCAGCAAATGACTAAACACGTTTTCATCAGAAAGCCCCCCCCCCCATTTTAACCGTTTTTGCTCCATTGTTATTTCCAGCCCTTTTTTGACAAAATGATCAAGAGAAAATGGCTGAACAACACAGACACATTTGAGGCCATTGAAGCCAGCGTTAAACAACACTTCAAAAAGTTCAGAAGGATGGATCCTCCACCGTATCAGGTATGTGTTAACAGAAATAATCTGTGTATCTAGTGTTTGGTGAGGTTGAGGTCACGTGAGAAAAAAACATTCTCTTTGGATTTTTCGGATGACACAGACGCTGGTGGGTGAGGTTCACCGTCGGGTCCTGGTAGAATATGTCCGAGCCATCATGCGGGGACGGCTCATTTGCACCTCCTCCAAGATGAGAAAGAGAATGGCTTTCCGCTTACAAGATGAAGCCAAACAACTTAAAGGACTCTTTAAGGATTTGGTGAGTCAGTCCTTCAGACTAAATTCTACATTATCAGGTATTGCAGAGTTAAATGGTATAATTGTCGCAGTCGCCTTACTAACAAAGAGAAAGTCAGGTGGCTCTTAAGTTCTCGACTTGGGTCCAAAGGTTTACCTCATTCTTATTATGATTCAAACTAATTGTAGCAATTTTCTCTCGGTACTCCGGTTTCCTCCAACATTCCAAAAACATGCATGGCAGGTTAATGGAACACTCTAAATTGTCCCAAGGTGTGAGTGTGAGCGCGAATGTTTGTTGGTCTACGTATGCCCTGCGATTGGCTGGCAACTAGTTCAGGGTGTCCCCCATCTACTGCCCGAGGACAACTGGGATAGGCTCCAGAAAATGGATGGATGGATGGATGGACGTTTACTGGAGATAAGAGTCTGAATAAACTTCTCCCGGTTTGCTTGGAACATGCAGACGTTCACTCTGGATATGTTTTTCAACTGGTAGAAGGCTGTTTTAGTGACTGATTTGATATGACTGCTAAAAGATTCAAATCTATCAGCACACCACCTAGTTATAGGAATCTGTGTGGCATCTGAATAAGCGTGATTGTCGACATTATAGTTCAGAAGAATTTGACCCAAGGATAGATATACAGCTTCAGCAGAAAGTGTCCAAGAAATGACCCTTGAGGGACCCCATATGCTATGACCATTTTATTAGATTCAAAGCTTCCAATGGTCACAAAGTAAGTCATTTCTTTCAAGAATGACCTTAATCATTTTAGGACTATTACATTTAGTCCTAATTTCCAACCTGTTCGACCTTACCACATATAATGACATTCCGTATCAAATGCCTATACAGCATCAAAACATGTGGAGGATGCCAGTTCCAATGTGGTCATCTAGGACAGCGGTCCCCAACCTTTTTTGCCCCACAGACCGGTTTAATGTCAGACAATATTTTCAGGGACCAGCCTTTAAGGTGTGGTGGATCAATACAACAAAATAATATGATATGACCTGCATGAAAACATATTAATAAACATATTAACAAACACGAATCGTGACATGAGGAACGTCCTACCTGGGCGCAATACTCTCACGTCGCTATGGTACCATTTAAACGTGCCTTCAAAATAAGATACACCGCAAATAAAAGTACCTAAAAATACGACTCACTATCGCTGCATATTATGCAGAGTGGGCTTGGTGCGTGGGAATCTCCCGTTGAGATAAATCCGTATTTTAAGTAGGACTCCTGACACTGTCTATTACATGTAGCCTTCCTTTTCTTGAAAGTCATAGGATCCTCTTCTGTCTCCTGGCTGGGCCTTTTCCCCTTCCCACAGAAACTTTCCAAAGTCGTTTGTTTTTTACTCATTTAGCTAGCTCCCGGGTTTCATTTTAGCAGTAACCTATCACATGACCGAGAAGCGCTGCTTCACCTGCGTCAAGAGTGACATACTGTAGACAGATTTAGGATAGAATCTGTTAATTTTTCAAAATAAAACATCTTTCAGGTTCCGAAATAATTAAAACGGAATTAATGAAAGTTATTTATTCTTTCTGTGCGGCCCGGTACCAAATGACCCACAGACCGGTACCATTCCGCGGCCCAGGGGTTGGGGACCATTGATCTAGGACCATGTATTTTTCAGCTACAGCAGTACCGTATACAGAAAAATAGAATAGAATACAATAGAATATTCTGCCAAGGCGAATGCCAAGGACGGTGGCTGAGAATGGAGCCTGCCCTTCCAACTTCCTAGGTCATGAATAAGCCAGACAGTGTTGATACAGGAGTGAGTTCTGAAAAATGGCTGCCGTCAGTGATATGGAGACGGATGATCCTGGCTTACGTTAGCACTAACCTGAAGGGGGAAGAGGCTGTAAAACAACTATGCCTGACAGCGTGGCATTTGCCCCCTTTCTGTGACCGAGTTCAAACAAGTGTCCGTCACCTCGGTTGACAACAGGAAGCTGCTGCGCTCAGAGGGAACTTCCTGTTCCTGTCAGCTGGATGACTTTGAAGTGAGTCCGGGATGGCCTTGATGGCCTTTGTCGCTGACGAGTAGAATGAAGCGACTATGGAAAATGGGAACTCGGGTGGGGGTGTTTTTTTAGTGATGGTTTAAAAAAGAGATTGTTATTTTTAGCAAATGCCAAACCAAAGAATTCCACCGTCTTTTGAGGAAAACGATGAGCAGAAAAAACAGTTGTAGTTTTGTTATTCACTGAGAAAATCCACAACGCTTTCACCCTCTGGCCTTTGAGAGAGTTGTCACACCATACAAGTTTCTCAGTTCACAATACTGACATTCATTTTGTCTAAGTATGCCATATAAAGGCTAATTTTGCTGTTTATAAGAAAAATCCCGGAGGATGCCTGGCTAGCTAACGCTCTCAAATCTCATTTCGTTGTATGTATAAATGGTGAACCTGAAGCTTGGAATAAGATAAAAAGAATTCAGAAATGTATCAAAGAAAGTAATGAATATATTCCGATGGTAAATAATCCCATCACATGTCTGTTTCAGGAATCAAGTTCATCTTGGTTGGACGGTCTCATCTGCCACCTCGCTGACATTGTTCTCCTGGAAGACACACCCTCCATCCAAATGGAGGTTGCCGTCTTGGTGAAAGAGTTTCCAGATATTCGGTAAGGGTTTTAATATCTAAAATGTGTTAGGATATTTCTGTCAGGATGTGTCTATAATAACAAATTCTCTGCACCGTATCCCCAATGGGCTTATATTATTCATGCTTACTATCGCACATTCAGTTGTTTTTGGCGGCAAGCCAAACAGGGAAATGTATGAGTATGTCTGGGTTTTTTTGTGGGTTTTTTTTTGCCACAATGGATCAAAACAAGGAAAGGAGCATGAATACATATCATACGTTAACTTTGCTATTTTGGGATATGCTATTCTGTTTTGAGAATGAATAAAGCCAAGAGGCCTCAGGATAGGATGGAGCCCAAACTACCAAAGATGTTTGTTCACAGATTAAGACTGAGATGACAGTTGGCAACCTTACCGCCTGTGACGCAGAACTCTCTAAAGAGCAGACAGGAAGCTGCTGCGCAGTACTTCCTGTTCCTGCCACTCTGCAGGAGACAGACTGGTGCCACATAGTGATGGATAGATAGACCTGACAGGCTAACTCACTCTTTTTGTTAACTGCGGTATTCCCTGTTGCTATTTTAGAATTTTTTGCAATATTTCATTTCAGCATTTCAGACAGATATTTGATGAACAATCTTTAGTGGCACTAATATATATATTTTTCCTGAGTTGTAAAAAGATACGTCTTTTTCAGGTGATTGTATGCTATATATTCAAGGGATGACACATTTACGCTCTAAAAACAAATGGGTCCAAAAAAAAAAAAGAAAGAATTATTTATTTAAATAAATACCCCACCCCCCTCAAAAAAAGTATTGGGATTGTTTGAAAAAAAAAGAACACCTTTCCCCAAAATGGTTTTGCTTTGTAAATAAATAATCCCCAAAAATTTGTCATTTTGTGAACCAATTTGTGTTATTTTGATGTTTTAGTGTAGCAATCATTGGTACATTGCATATATTAAAGGGGAAAACACTGCTTGAGGAGATAAAGTACAGTACTGTACATCCTGGATGTACTTTATATGCAAATAGTCATACAAAAACCAAAACCAACACAAGATCAACAACAATCATGACAACCCACGCAATGCGCAGATTGACGCACAAACATTAATCACAGGCCACCAAACATAAAACAGGTCACAATTTACCTTTTTTCTCTTTAAGAAATATAGCCTGCAAAATTATTTGCACATTTTGGTTAAAAATTGATTTTCGAAAGTCACTCATGAGCAGTTACACAGTGGCCTGCGGCCTCATGTCTACCATGTGACCGAATCACAACTGTGATGATGTCCAGTATAATATTGCGCCCTCTGTTATATTGTTTGATTCTGACATATATTTATTTATTTTATTTCATTGGGACAGTGCAAATGAATCAACACAAGAATAAACAGTGTATATGCGCCAGAGTTAGCTTAAATGCTAGTTTTCAGTCGTAGTCACAAGGCTAAAATAGCACAGTGAGACACATCAAACTTTAAAACCACGATGACGGAAATAAGAACCAAATCGGTAAAACATCATTAAACAGACAATCCAAGCAGTTGCAGTAGTCAATTACAAGACAATAGACCAGGACAGACATTGCTAACCACGTTAGCAGTGGCTCGGAAGAGTAATAGCATTTGTCTACAGCACATATTTTGGAACCATTTATAGTTACAATGTGTTTTAAATATCGCGAGTTCCTTCCCCGAAACAGATGACTCATGGATATGATGCAAAGTCGTTCCCGTATTAATGACACAAAACAGGGTCCACGTCCATTAGCAGTCGTCACCTTCCACTCATCACCTCCGTGTCCTTCCTCTCAACAGGCAGAAGCATGTCTCCACCCTGCTGAACATACGAGGCATGATGCGTCAGACGGAGCGTCTCGAGATCCTCAACATAGTCAAAGACTTTCAGTGCAGCTCTGCCTTAATCTGCCGCGACCGTGCCATCTTTTCTGAGATCCCCATTACCTCCGAGGTGCACTGCATTAGCCTGGGATTCCTGCGTCTTGCCATGGCTGTCGCCAACTGGTTCTCGGAGCACCGACCAAGGCAAACCCGCAGGAAAATAGCCAGAAACACAAGACTTCAATCCACCGAGAGTCAGAACATTGAAGACACAAATAAATCCAACAGAGAAGAATAGCTATTGGTGTGAATGTGAGAAGAGCAGTTACAGTCATACTGTGATGGGATGAGACATACCTGTATATGCACCTTGACAAAAAACAAACAAAAAAAACAAAAAAAAACCCAATGTTGACAGCGCCAGCTTTTATACAAGCAGCAGGGTAAAGAAACTTGACTTGAGGTACTGCTCGTTCTGTTCACGCTCACAAAAAACTATTCTGAGTTTTTTTTTTTTTTTTGGTCTAAACAGTCCATGGACAGACACAAAAGAAACAGCAATTCATCTTAAGTTGTTTTGGGGCCCACAACCAGTATGAAATGATAATGCCATCATAAGCAGAGGCAATTCAATATGATGCTTTGTTGTTTATCATTTATTTACCAGGTGATAAAAATATATACTGTACCCATTAATGGTTTATATACTATGGCAAGATAGTGATGTGTTGAACTCTCACTGTGAATGATATGGATCCATTGCTGGAAACCTAATAAAGACCCATTGATTGGGTGGATGGAGTAGATTTGAAGTGGTGTCATTGTATGTATAAATAATAACGGCTTGTGCCTCATCGGCTTACCACGGTTGAATGTCAAGACTGTGTGATTGAACAATTGTCCTATTCCCCCTGCTGCTAAATTTAGCGTGTTGTGGTCCCGATACGCGGGTGTGTCAGTCTACAGCTATTTTAAACCAAACGTACCAAACAGACCAAGTTCATGACGCAAAAGCAACACCGCCAACACACAAACACGCACGCGGCTCGCACAAACACGTGTCTGAGTTGTTTATCTTAAGCATGTGGCAGTTTGGTTCAGCAAGATCTTGAAATATGGGGGCTCCGCCGTGACTACTTCATGACGCTCTCCCTCTGTATAACAAGAAGCGTCACACATGCCCCAAGGCCAACAGCGGGATGTTTTTCGATAAACAAAGACTTCCTGTTGTCCGCTGAGGTGCCAACGGATGCCTTTATTGGAGCCAAGTTTACGTTTTTCACCAGGGGAATTTCCTTCTCGCCCACTTTGAGTCAATGGTGAATGTGCGGCAAGGAGCACAACTTTTACCGCATCTGTCAGAGTTGCTCATGTGCTTTTCATATAGAACAGCAGTGTTTTTTTTTTTTTTTTTTTTTTTGCATGTTCAGTCCTCTCGGAGCACATGGCTGCATTAGAATTTAAGTAAAGTAAGTAAGTAAGTAATACAATAAGAATCAAGAGACATGTTGCTTGTGTCATCCTCTGGAACCATAGATACATTTATTCAGTGTATCTGACTATGAAAAAAAATTGTGTTTTTGTTATTTGGAAACAACCCCCCCCCCAAAAAAAACAAAAAAACAAAACTTATACTTGTACATCTGAACACAGCAGCAAAGGACGTAAAGTGTTTTCTGGACTCAATTGGCAATGCATTGTATTGTACACATCACAATCATAAAAAAAAAAAAATGTCAAAATGCCAAGTGCAAGTTAGAGGTAATGTTTTGGTTTCTCATTCGATTGTCTTTTTATTACTAAATTAAGTATGTGATCTTTTATCACACATTCCAAGACGATTGATGACCAAACATAACAAGGGAAGTACTGAAGAGTGAAATTACAGAACATAACATTATGTACTTCTTCAATTTGTTAACCTGTCATCAGTGCCTCGGTTATTTTTGGCCTCAGCTCATACAGATAAACTGGCATGCGTTTGTGTGTTCATAAGTTCCATGAAGCCGTAGTACAGAGAAGAAAAAAACATGAAGTCGGCATCACTTGAATGTTAGCTTTGGCAATGTGAATTGTCAGTCACAAGTTTCGGTAAAACCATTATCAGACATCCTTTCATATATCAAAATAATGGCGGATGCCGGGCGGCTGTTTTTCAGGCATCCCGTGTGGGGAATACCATTTGTGACTGAGAAAGGCAGCTAGGAATGTGGCCCAAACTCTTGATCGAGGTTTCTCTCGATCGAGCTTTGAAGGAGGAAGAGTCTTCAGTATCACAATGCAATCCCTGGGAAATACTCCCCTACTTCCTTTCATTAACACGGCTCTGCAATGGAAAATCCATCTGGCTGGATTTGCTGTTTGTTATGGGAAGCAAGCATTGCCCTGTCTTTGTTTTCACTGTCATACAATTTCACGCTTCCAGGCTTTTCCGTTTGTTTGCCTGTCATATAATTGCTGCGTCCAGTGGTGTCAAGCCGCAGGATTCTTTGGTCCTAATATGTTTTGGTTCCTTTGTTGTGTGGCCCATGTCTACGCACCATAGATGCGCTATTCTGTAATTTGTTGTGGATAAAGGATTTCAATTTGGAAGCAATTGGAGACCACTTTACACCCACAACTGTGTGTCCATGTGTGATTCCCCCCTCCCCCACCCATCCTCTGCCAATTGTGATGGAGGTGCTATTAAAATATTTTTAAGATGATAATGATTAAAATTCATTCATCCATCCATCCATCCATCCATTTTCCGATCTGCTTTATCCTCACAAGGGTGGCGGGGGAGGCTGAAGCCTATCCCAGCTGTCTTCGGGCAGTAGGCGGCGGACACCCTGAATCGTTTGCCAGCCAATCGCAGGGCACACAGAGACAAACAACCATCTGCGCTCACACTCATACCTAGGGACAATTTGGAATGTTCAATCAGCATGCCATGCATGTTTTTATGGGAGGAAACCGGAGTACCCAGAGTAAACCCAGCAGGCACGGGGAGAACCTGCAAACTCCACACAGGAAGGGCGGAGCCGTGATAGAACCCACAGCCACTGCACTGTGAGGTCGACACGCTAACCACTGGACCACGGGCCGCCCAGAATTCATTCAATGAACTGATTTCTATAATCATTCACAGGGATTGTCCCAAGCTGAATGAAATCCGATGAGATCCTTTATACACGTCTGTTAAGCGGGGAATTTGTCTGCCTGCGCCTCGATCAAATACACCAAAATTGCTTTCATTTACACCTGTTATGGTTTTGGACCAGTCTGGAACAGGAGCGGATCCCACAAACGAAGACGAGGATAAGATTCGAGTACAAAAAAAGGTCTATTTACAAAATAAGGTTCAGAGATCGACAAACTACAACATAACACGCTGGGAACAAAGAACCAAGATAAAAAAAAAATGATACTAACCAAAAGCGCTTGCAAAAGGCAAGAGAAACAAAAGAACGCTTAACAAGCACAAAGTACTTTACAAGGCTATGATGATGAGCGATTTCGAAGAAGGTCGAGAAAACAAGCACTTGATACGAGAGTCGTCAGCAAGGCAAATTACCGTATTGGCCCGAATATAAGACGGCCCTGATTATAAGACGACCCCCTCTTTTTCAAGACTCAAGTTTGGAAAAAGACGTTTTGAACACCAAATTAATTTTTATACAGAAAATAATTACAGTACATCTGAAACAAATGATTATAACAATATATTTGAGAGAAAAAGCATGTTATTTTGCCTCATTAAAATCATAATATCTGAACATTTAAATATGTAAACTAAAATGCAATCACATTCGTAAATGAATGGCTTCTGGTTTTTGAAATGTAAATTACATCATAACTTCTCCTCAGCTGCCGGTTAACCTGGCCGATCTTCGACACACTTTTCTCCAGATTGTCGCTACGTTTCTCCATTTTCTGTTATCTCTTCTATTATTTTCTTCTCTTTTCTTTCTTACCACTATTTTTTATTTTTCTTCTTCGTGCTACCGCTATTTTTATTTTTATTCTTCATGACAGGGGTTCACTTTGGCCTTGGGAGTCAAGTTCAGCATTTGCTTCAATGATATCTGGCGCCATCTAGCGTCGTGAATGGGTATAATGTCTAGACCCCGAATATAAGACGACCCCCACTTTTTCAGTCTTATTTCAATGCAAAAAACACCGTATTATATTCTGGCCAATACTGCATCTGACAACTGGTGATGGCTTGGCAATCTCTTATAACGTGACAGATAATGACATGACGAGGAACAGGTGAGGGATTGGAGGCAAAACCCTCTACTCCCACCTGCTGGAGACTAAATAAACAGAACCATGACAACACCACCTACACCCTGAGTTAGACGTGGTTGCACTGAGTCTAAAATCGATTCTAGATTTTGTCACAAAATTTGCAGATATGCTGGGGAGCGTGCAATAGAAAATTCCCTTGATCCCTGGAATGCCAAGTGACAGCGCCAAGTACCAAATTCACAAACACATTAAACTAAACATGCCCCGACATGAATGCTTCATTTTCTAAGCTGAGTGCAGTCTACAAGAAAAATTCTGTGTGTCATAAAGGGTCAACACGGCCCCAAACACGGTAGACTAGACTTGCCCCAGCACCAAAATGAAGTTGCACCCGTTTTTTTACATTGTACACGGGCATCCGCCTATGAAAATTAGGCCGTTGGTATTCTCAGCATGCTTTGTTGCACATACAGTTGACACTTGTAACTATGTCGATGTAATGTGTTATTTTGTACAGACCCCGTGGAGTATCGTCACAAGTCAAGTTCTATATATCGCTACTTTTGGTATTCTGTGTGCCTTTAAAGTGTACATTTTATCCTGTGTTTCAAACTCTTGTAAAGTGTCTTTGAGTGCAATGAAAAGCGCTTTCAAAATTAAATGTATTATTATTATTATTATTGTTATTATTATTATTATTGAATTCATCCGACTTTTGGTGAAATTCTTAGGAACAAAAAGTGCAGTCATTGCTAATAATGGCCTGCACATTACATACAATGTAGAATTGTAGTTGTAAAGAGAAGGTTGATACCACAGCTCGGACTACCGAACACACTTTTTTGCTGATTTCACCTTAGCAAACCATAAACCAGCCCGGCCTACCAGGAATTTTCTGGCACTCCAGATTGGTCACTTCTAGCTTATATAGAATGAAAATCCCATCCAACTGATCCATGATCTAAATTCTAAGATATGTAGAAGAGTTTCTCCAGTTTGATAACACACAATACAATTTTAGTCCTTTCCCAAATGAGCAATTGTTAAGCAAAGCCTGATAGATTCGTCCAGGTATTTTTGCTGGTTGTGTGATCAGGTCAGCCGACACTTTGCATAACACATGCAAACGTCTCGTTCAGATTCAAAAGAGAGAACCTCCCGTCCTCTCCCATGTCCAGTACACACTGTCATTCAGGATGGCTGCCCACTTGAACCAAAACAATGGTAGACTTTTTTTTCACTGCAGGTGGGATATCCTGATTTATGTTATCTGAGGTCTCTATCAAGCGTAACTTTATTTAGCAAAGAGGAGGTGCATGGTCCAGGCAGCTTGTGCCAACATGTCTGAAGATTAGACTAAAAATGATGCCAAAATGTTTCATTATGAACAGATGTTAAATCATGCTCTCAGACCTTGGCCTCAGACAGAGTGCAGGAAGTTCACCTTTGTTCAAGACTGGAGCTAACTCTTGGAAAGCATTAATATTAAATTAGCCACTCTTGGAATTTATGAGCAAAACATGTACATTCATCAAACGTTCATCTTGAGAATTTTGATTCCTTCCCAAAATAT